CAGAGCAGTGGCTTCTGAACACAGGCCTGCTCTGTGGGTACAACACACAGCTCCACTGGGCTCGTACAATGAGAGAAAACACTACATGCACACTACACAATACATACATACATACATACATACATACACGCTGGGCACATGTTCACTTCATGTTACACACCAGAGAACATTACACCTATTGAAAACATATAGTAGGTTATTTTCTAATGTCAGCATTTGGAAACTTTGACTTCACCTTTAAAGGTCCTATATTACGCAATATTGATTCTTGTGAGCCTTAACCCGTGTTAGAATGTTGTTACCTCCTCAAAAATATACCTGGAGTTGTGTTTTATTTCATTCACACATGTTGGAGTAACTGTTTATTATTAGTCTGTCTACATTTCCAAGGCTTAAAATGCTCTGTTAAACCTTGTCATGTCATGAAATGGTAGTTTTCATGCTTGATTTTACCTTTACTACAGCTGAGATTAGCAATTCTAGGCCTGAAATTGTCCAGATGGTTCTAGTGAAGGTGTATGGAGTTTAAAAGCACAGTGGAGCACTTCCTGTATTACCACATGACATAACAAGATGGAGTGTTTTCTGTTTGAGAGAAGAACTCTAAATATCTAAATATGCAGGATTTTTATTTATTTTTTTTAACTCTTTGTTATTGTATTATAATGTGATATGTGAGCTACTATGTCCAAGTCATTTTCCTTGTGAATCAATAAAGTTTGTCTAAGTCTAAGTCTAAGACATGTGTGATTGAAGCAAAACACAACTCCAGGTATGTTTGAGATAAGGAAACAACATTATAAAGTCAATCAGAAAATACCAAAATATGGGCCCTTGAATGATCCACAAGGGTAAGTACTTTGAAGCTTAGCTTGGAATTTACACGAGCCAACACACCACAAAATCAAAATATGGACTAACCTGAACTCAAGCAGGACTAAAGCAGGACTAGACAAGTCTTGAGTCTACAGCTGAGTTCAAACCAGTACCAAACAAGAACAAGTGTTACCTGAGCAGCCAGAACCACACACTTTGACAAAACTTTACAAAGACGAGTGGATCTGGAGCTGTATCCTGTCTCTCCCATTTCAGAATGCTTTATAGGCTCTATTCACACTTACATTACAAACCAGGAAGACGTTTGGAAAGACACGATTACAACTTCAGGTGTAGTTACTGACAATGGGCTCCCCTAACATGGATCTATTAAAAGTGACTGTGATTAAAATCCATTGAAGTAAACGTGATCAGTGGTAAAATGAAGACTGCATATGTATGTGCTGTTTGGAATCATCTTGAATTTGGTTCCTTCAGCTCTTCTAATCGCATGTACCCAGTGTGCTCGAAGTTGCGCGTCAGCGGGGAAATGATGAAAACTGAGGTATAGTTGTAATTGCCGATTGGCCGAACAAAGACATGTAGATGAAGAAAACTGGGGCTGGGAAATTGTAATCGCATTTTTCCAAACGCCTTCCTGGTTTGTGACTTAAGCGTAAATAGGGCATAGTCCCTTCGCATTAACTCGACTATGCACATGCAACCTAGTACCCATTTATTTCAGTAAGGTAATAATTTGAGATTTTTTCTGAATCTTTGCAGCCTGATTTATCAGCCGGTTTCACTTCATAGAGACCATCTCGAAAATAGGCGGGTAGTTTTTATTATTTAACCAATCACTGGCTATTTGGTAGTAACAGGGCTAACTGGTATATTAAGGTTTTCCCAAATCCCATAAGAAGAAGGGCAATAACGTCTTTCCATTTGATAAAATTCACCAAATATTCTCTTTGCTTTAAATCCTCGATCTCGGGAATTGTTGCCAACACAGAATGTATGGCTCTTCGCTGATTGGCTGGTGCCCGAACTCGCACTTCCGGGTTTTTGCGATTCCTGACCTAGTTGATGGAGAAAAATTAAATTGAGCGGAGGCACTAGGCTGGCCTGACTAGAATCCCTTTGCCTTTACCTTCCAATTCCCCTTAGAATCAATCAAAGAAAATCACGTAGTTTCATCAAGTTAAAATGAATTAATTTCTTGTTTGTTTTTTTTACAGAATAGTCTACAGTATTTTTTTTTATTTTTTTATAGCAGATGCCCTTTCTGACACAACATTCTACATTGTAACATATAATATAGCCTTAGAACAGTCATAAACTATGCAATAGAAATGTTCAAATGTTACGTGCTGTATATTTCAAGTCATATAATGTACATTCATACCAATTCTGTATAACAGCAGCTCAATACTAGATGGGTTTTTATTTGCCCATTGGCCCTTTATTTCCTGCTATATGGGAGTAATTGGCAAAACAAAACACAGGTACTGGATAGCAAATAGGCTCCTGGCTCTCGTCCTGATTGTGCCAAGTTCACGTATCCGAACCATCCTTTTAATGTTGCATTCACAGTCCCTTTACTGAATAATATATGAAGCAGATTCAGGTTTTCCTACTATTTATACAGCCAATGTATTTATTATTTATGCTAGTTTCTGTAGTGAGTTCAAAATATATCAAATCAACTCTGCATCTAGATTAGAAATTGACCACTGGACACCTATGCAAATATAAATAAAACTAATATAATGGCATGCTTTACCAGTATGCTCTATCATTAAAGGTACACTATGTAACTTTTCTGGGCGGGGGTCTCCATGGAACTATTATTCTTATGTTACCTGGAATGTTCCACAGTATGGCATTACGTATTTATCAGTTTGCAGCATGTCTTTATTGCTCTAAAACATACATTCTTACTGTGAGCGTGGTTGCCTTGACAATATTTTTAAAGCCATACTGTGGAGCATCCGAAGCAAAGCAACAACATCTCCATGGAAACGGCGCGTACCCTCCTCCGGAAAGTTACACAGTGCACCTTTAATTAAATTGCGCGTTGCCGGTGGGCTGCTCAGCTTTCAGTGTGTTTGGTTTCCCATAGCAACAGGTCCACAAGAGGCCAGAGCACGAGAGCTTAAGTGCTGCAGCTAAAAATCTGATTTGATTCAGATCGGAATTTACTATTACTGCTCTTGACATTTGAATGAAATCACATGTCACCTCTTTCATACAGAGAAACAAAGAAAGGGGGAGAGATTACATTACAGCAGGTGTGTCACGGGTTAAAGCGCCGGTTATAGGAGGGTATTGGAAAACCTTAAATTTGATCAGCTAGCTCGCCCCTGCAGCCCCGCCTCACATTGTTCTCTGAGCGTGGTGCTATCACACAAAGGGCAAAGAGGGGGTGAAAGAGAGGACATGATAAAACAAAGAATATTGACATCTGTCACTTTGGCTTTTGTTATTTTCATCTATTTACACATTTTTTGATATCCAGATTCTTTTATTTTCTGCACATTATATTTTATTGTCTAGACCATAGGCTGATTTAATGATAAGAGCATAAAGAGTTAATACTGACTGTTCATTGCTTTAACATTTGAATTGCAGGAATTTAAATGATTTTATAATAATAATACATAGTAATCAATATATAGGCATCATATTCCTTCTTGTCTCTTACCATTGCCTAAATAGCATTATCACATACTATATAAACAACAGAACAATAGAAATTGCATGAAAACCTGAATAGGCATAGCAATAGTGAATACTGTTAGTTTGGCCTTGCTTGTTAAAATGTAAAGTTTATTTGGGGTTAATTGCACATACAGTATTATGCTTGCATGGAAGCATCATTTATTTTATAATATACTGTAGCTCTACTTCGATGGTAGCTCTACTTCGATGTTCTCCTCTTATTTATTTCCCAAAACTTGGGGGACCATGACTGTCGACTCAAACAAAGAGAGGCATTTTGGATTCATACCCTCCAAACTTTAACTCCAAAAGGTCTTAATGCTGACTTTAATCTAAGCATTTTCTTGTAAATATCAGTTGATTATTATGTCACTTGCCTCTGACGATTATAAGATCCATTGTATTTATGTACAGATGTGCACATAGCACGTCAGTCTTATTCTTGGGTGAATATATACTATGTCTATATGTATTCGAGAAAATGTTGTTTGTTTACATCCGGCTTTTCCACACGTACGTAGTTGCTGGTAGGCAAAAAGTCAGTGGGGCCACTTGTTTGTGTTGACAGTTGCATTGTGTCATGAGATAACTTGTCTTGTTTTGAAGTAGGTTTTGCATTTAATTGTTTTGACACGACTTCATCATCTTACTCTAAGTCACTGAATGTTGAGGATCAAAAACGTTACTTTGAAAAGTTAAAACTCGCTGATAACTGTTGACGATGTTGATGTTGTACTGTTGTATGAAGAGTGTTGATGCTGTACACCAATAACTGTTGACAATGTTGATGTTGACTGTTGATGTTGACTTGTTGACACAGACACTTTTTGCCTACAAAAACGTGACGTCATCATGTTTTCAGATACTCTTCTATTTTTTCTCTACCATTTTCTCTACTATTATTATTATTATTAGTAGTAGTAGTATTAGTAGTATTAGTAGTAGTAGTAAAAGTATTATTATTGTATGTTGATTGCCTTTGTATTTTGAATTATGTTGTTTTGGGTGTTTTGGGGGGTACACTGTGCCTTTACGACCTGTCACCCTTGGGCGCTTGCCACACCCTATTTAAGATGGCCACCTGAGCTCTCACTGTTTGCCAGATGAAGTCCTAGTGCCGAAACGTGGTACTGTAAGTCCAAATAAATCTCACATTTTGCCAGTAAGACGTGTGCGTGATCTTTCTCTACGCTCTTTTTCTCAAAACTTAAAATAAAAAGTTCCGTTTAAGGTTATTAATGAATCATTTTTCTCATGTGATGTTACCATTGCGAATTGACACACTAATAGTTACAATAGCCTTTTTGATAACACACTGAAAGGCGTTTTAAATTCTCAAGTGACTGAAACTGTGCGTAAAAGTTGTTTGAATCAACTGAACGAGCTTACACAGCATGACTCAGCACGCAACATAACAGTAACATCCTTGACAACGTCCGTATCCTCTCTTATTATCACTACTCTCACCGCAAACGCATCACCATCTCTCCCGCTCGCTCCTCTCCTCTCCTCTCCTCTCTCCGTGCGCGCTAGCCCGCCCCTCCGCGTCACCGATTCAAAGTGGAGCCGAGCTGCCACGGAACAGTCAGTCAGCGGCAGGAGAGGCTCAGAGCGCGGGGCGATCCCACACACACACACACACCGCCACTGACACAGCCGGGGCAGGGACACGCTCGCCGGGGACGCTTCACCCTCTCTCACCCTCGCAAGATCACAGACCGCCTCGGATCTAACCATGCGGGCTGAAGTCGGGAAGCTTTTTCTTGTGCATTTGTTTCTCACGGAGCTCCATTGCGCTAAAGGTAACGCACGATCCCCGCGTTTGCATCCCTCATATTGGGGACAGTGTTTTGGGTAAACGTCCCCGCAGCTGAGTCAGTCTTACCAACGCGATTTACGCTTCTCATTCTCATTGTCGTTCACGCTGAATGAGATGAGAGGTGGCACTACGTATGGCAATAGCGGAAGGAAAAGACAGGTCTCCCGTATCTCCTAACACGTGTCTGAATGGTGTTGGCTGGTGTCAACGCGGGTAAAGCTGCAGCTACTCTCACTGATGTGTTTACAAAGTGCAAACCGGCATAGTGGCCGTAGTTTACGCAATTAAAAGCTTCAATGGTCTGCGTAAAGGGAGTTATTGTTATTATGGGGAACCGGTTACGGGTCAGTGTTGCAGGCATGTGCGGTCATAGCCAGGGCAGCCTTCAGATTCTACACATAAGCAATCAATCATACTGTATTTGTTTCTCGTGGACACAATAGACTCGTTTGGGTACACTACAGGCAAGAAATACGAGTGCTGAGATGAATATATTTTGCTATTGGGAATGATAGCTTGGTAAAAGAAAGATGATTCCTGGAATAAACTAAATTATAGTTCCTAGCTTTGAAATACAACAAAAGATATTTCCAAAACAATACTGTGGATTACTGACAGCTTTGTATATATGAATGACAGTACAGCAATCCTCAGGCTGTTGATATAAGGGATGTCCTGTTCCAATGTTTACACAGCATATTGTCAGTAACTTTTAGTAAAACCACGTGCTCACGCCAGCTCCTGTTGTACTTAGTTGTAGGCACATGTTAAGAACAAATAGACTAAGAATTCATATTGATATTTTGTTGCTTTTGTCAGGAACTCATGTGGAATTGGTATGCGAGACGGGGCAGTTCCAGTGTGGAAACGGACGCTGCATCCCGTCCCTGTGGAGATGTGATGATGACGATGATTGCTCGGACAATACTGATGAAGAAAACTGTCGTAAGTACTCCAAATCGCAACTTTGTGCTTTGTTTTGGCCGCTTGTGGATTCAGGATTCAGAATTGGCTTGGTTTGGGTGTTGAATCTAAGTGTACATTGATCAGACGTAACATTGCGACTGATTACTGATAGGTTAAATGAATAATGATGTATTTTGCTACAGCTTATTGTCCTCCTAATTGATGTGGGGAAGGAACTGAAGCTAAAAGTGCAGTTGTATTGGACAGATGACTTTTGGAGTACATCCAAACTGCAGCTAGGTGTTCCCAGTCTCTTGTGAAACAGTGGAAAAAATCAGATTAGATTGATTTTAGACATTACAATAAAGATAATTGGAAATATTTTCAATAAATGGATTCTAAATGGATAAATTAAACTGTCTTTTTCAAAAAGGTTAGATTATGTCAACTGGAAGTTTTTAGAGTAAATACATTTTGCCACTCATCCAAGTAGCTTCTTCAGTTGTTCAAAATTTTGCTTTGGAACACTGGACCTCTGAGTGACTACAGAGACATCTTGTTAAAATGCATGAACTAAATGAAGGCTAATATAAAAACTATAAAACTATATAAATCCCAACTACTTTTTTTGAATATTGCTTTAGAATTGCAGCAACAACCACTTCAGCTGTAGTTTTGACAGAGTAACTGAACTTGTCTATCGCACATGTTGCCATAATGTTCCACTTTGCCACTGTGCACATACTTGCGTGAGGAAGTTCATTTTTGATAGCTACTTTTGAGTGAATGACATTATGCTGGTTGTGTAAGCTGATTTGCTCTGGAACCCATTGGAATCTGTGTGTCAGTTGTTAATCTGCAGACGCTGGTGCTGAACCGCTGATCCCAGATTGGAGTCTGGGTCACATGGCTCCCGGAATTTCACTCATTTTTACTCATTTCTGCTGCCGTGTAAAACCACCCAGGGTCACTGCAGGTCTATTTCATAATGTTATTATTATTAGCTTTATCCGCAGACTGGAGATAATGGGAGCTTTGTTATCGGACAGACGCTTGCCTGTTCGTCTGTCTCTCGTGTTTGAAATGTGATGGATTGTGTCATTTTTCTAATATAGTAAAACAATAACACTTGTGCAGCATTAAACACAATATGGAGTTGGTGCATATTAAAAGTCCTATATTGTGCAAATTTGCCTCTTGTGAGCTTTAAATCATATTATAATGTCACCTCATCAAAAACAAACCCGGACAAACTGCAGGTCTGTTTATGATGAGAAAACAACATTATAGCAGGGACCAAACTAGGACTGTGATGTTTAGTGGTGAATTGTCAAGTTTATAAAGGAAATAAATAGTTGTAAGAGTTGCGTTTGTTTCTGCTTGCCTCCAGGCCACTCATCATAGTTTAATTTGAGGAAGTGTCTTTTCTCAACTTGAAGCGTCTATAATTCTATAATTGGACACGTGTCATCGTTGACTTTTAGATGAATAAGCCTACTGGATATTTGTAACATTATGTCTTGGACTCATGTACCATGCAAACAGAACATGCATTTATTTATTTATAGGATCAGTTCGAAAGAATAATATACATTCAGTTTAATTATGTTTAACTTTTAATGATTTTTGTATTTTTGTGTAGTCTGAAACTAGGGGAAGTACATTGAAAACCTCCAAAATAGAGTTAGGCCATTATAGTGATTTGCTGATATATTAGGCAGATATTTAGACTTTTTTAGCATATCGGCTATTGGCCTTAAATCTGCAGCACTGGCTAATATTTTGTTTTGGTCAATCTGCTGCCTAAAAATACACACAAAGCTTTATATTGACACTGTGATACGAAGAGAAAACTGCACAAAATGTGACTACACAGCTCTCTTATAGGTTTGTGGTAGAAAAGGACTTGGGGGAAGCAAGTTTAAATTTTAATATGAGCAAAATCATCTAAATCTGTTCCAATATCGGGCCCAAATACTGGCAGAGCTCTTCAGCCATCAGTTGCTCTATATTCTAAACAATCGGTATCGGCAATGAAAAAAAAAACTGCCGGTCTCTAGTTCACAGCAGTAATCCGGGCTAGATTAGAACCTCTGACCTTCGGGTTGTTGGCCAAACACTTAAGCTATTTTGATATGACATCGTCTTGTATTATGCAAATACATGGATTTTTTGAGAGATTATAAATACAGCAAATGTTCAGAATATGAATACGCAAAGTGAATTTGATTGAAAATACTGAAATGAGTTCCACAAAAATCACCGACTCATATAGTTTCCAAATTGTCCAAATTCATTCTAATCTGACTGGACATTGGTGTTGGTAGGATTAGGACTACTAATTGAAACACCATTGAAAACATACTCCTTTCAAAATCACTTACAGTCTAATTCACAGTCCTCTAATCCACAAATTGAACTGACAACCAACAGAGTAATTATTCTACATTTGTCATGCTCATAATTGCTTCAGAGAATACATTTCTATGGTCCGTATTGCTCTTATCTTCACTATAACCAACCGACCGTACTCCTCTCTCATCCTCCACGTACCCACATCTGGTGAGGCATGTCTGGGGAGCTCCCTGCGTGCCTGCCCTGACATTTACCAGCGCGGAGCATTGAGACTGATGGAGATTATTGGGCGTTTAGTGGGCGATGCTTGATTGAGGTAGAATGAGGATTTAATGAGGTCTTTCTTATCATGGAGCAGGTGAGGCTGTCTTGGGTGCTTAGACACTGGGATAACGCTGCTCAAGTTGTTGAGTGTTGATTTTAAGGTGACCATTGTTTGTTGGTGACATTTGATCTCTTTTTTTTCATAAAGGCCTTCCCACACTACAGGATTTTTCAGTCTTAAACGATTTTAAAAAGTACAACAAAAAACGCACACCGCAAACATGAGGAGAATCTTAGGTGATTTTAAATCCCTGTTTGTAAAAACTGCTGCAGGATATGGTTTTGGACCACGGTCTATTCTGAATGCACCTCGCGTCAACTGTTTCCTGTCTACAGTGAAACGACTCGCATTGAGACTCTTAAGTGTTCAAAAGATCAGACTTCTAGTTTAGATGCAAGTCAAAACATTGTTATTATTTGTGAAATGTGGTGCAAAACTCCAGCTAGATGGTTTTAATGCACTTAAGGTTGGCGATCAAATCCACTCACTGTCGCTAATCTGCAGCTTCACCTTGATCCCCGCACGGTGTGGATGTAAACAGACACACGCAAGAAACTACTCCCACCTTTTTACTTCTAAAGAAAGCTTCAAACTGGATTAGCATCCTGTTTTGTGGACTGAGAGTCATTATTTTGCGGAGGACAAATTCTATGGATAATGTGGATGAGAGGCTGTAATTTAAATTAACAGCTTTACGAGAGGTGAATAATAATTATTTTCTCTCTGTCCATCACTTCGCCTGCCCCTGACGCTTTGTTTTATTGGCTGTTAACGTAGCATTGCTGATGTTTGGTTATTACAAAATGACAGAGTAGCTCAGAGTCACACAGACAAAATCGCACACGAAAACACAATATCGGGTCACGCCTCCTCGAACTCAGAGAGAAGCAGATCATAGTCAAAATCAAGCAAATTCTCCTGTAGTGTGTGACGGCCTTAAAATTGTGCACAGGCATTGGTGTATTCAAATGTGGGGAAGTTTTGGTGTGCTTGTTTACTTCATAACATTTGTATAGTTAAATAAGCTTTTCCTGTTTGTTTCTGGGGAAGTGTGTAATACAGAGCATCATTAAGTCATAATCTATTTCAGAATTTGTACAGTTAACTTCAGTTCAGCAACTTCTATCCACTAATCAGAGTCATAATTATTAAGTAAATATTAAGAAAACCTGGCTCATTGTCAGATCTCTGGCTCTTGTAAGATTAACATTTACTTAATTGCAAAAAAAAAAAATTCTCTCAACTGCTCAACTGGAAAAAGCATTTTTCCTTTGCTTATGCATCATACCTGGACGAATAAGAGATTATACAAACACATTTACTTACTTCTAGTACTGTCACTAGTACGACTAACTACTACTACTACTCTCTACTAGAGTTGCTAATACGATACATACCTCGATACACAGGCTACAATACGATACGTTTTTCACTGCAGTGCACTTTCGATTTGATACGATATATTGATCAATCAGTCAAACTTTATTTATAAAGCATTTTTCATACAAAAAATGTAACACAAATTGCTTTGCAGTGATTAAAAACAATCTCACATTTCCTTCCACCCACCCACCCACCCAGCACCTGCAGCTGCCCGACCCCACACAACCAAACAACCAAACCACCCAGACACACACACACACAACATGCACAGACACTCACGCACTCACATACTAACATGTTCAAATACATAAAACTACACATAGTAAAATAAGAGGTTATTTTCAAATTGATTCGATACGGTTCAAAAACAAAGGCTAAATCATGGCAGAGTTGATATGAAAACCACCCATTTTACTCAAAACAGTGAAAGTGTCATCACAATTGTAGCTCTGACACAAAATAATTAAATTGTAAACTATACCAGATACAGTAAGCTATACCAAAAATACTCTTGACGATATATCCATACAGCAGCCCACGATATCGATATTGTATCATGAAATTAAACAATATGATATATAGATATTTCAATATTTTTGCACACCCCTACTCACTACCTGGCTCTCTCAATTTGGGTTGTACTCGACTAAAAGACTACACACTGACTTCTGCCAATGTATTGCTTTATTACCCATAACAAAAATGTTTCTACGCTGTCTGTATTCTTTTTCCCTTGGACTTTTCTCCTAATTCAAATTGTAATACTTAAGTGAGCTGCTGGATGTTACAACTCAGGTAGCAGAGGTGAGTGGACTGGATAAAGTTGGATTTTCTCTTGCCTGGACTCTTGGTTTACTGTTATTCCTTAATAGGTGCTTTCTGTGTGTATATCTTCACTACTACAACTGTGATTTCCTCTGCCTTCTGGTTCCGCCTTTATCTCCCTCTCCCCCACTTTCTCTCCGCTCTCTCCTTT